CTTGGAGAAGGACATCATGCTTGGGAGGGTGGAGGGACGGCACAGGAGGGGAAGGCCCTCTATGAGGTGGATTGATTCAGTGACTGGGATAATCGGGATGGGAGTGTCAGAGACAGTTCGATTGGCACAGGACACAGCTGAGTTTAGGGCTGTTGTACATAGGGTCGCTATGAGTCGCAAGCGACTCGACAGCATATATCAACAGCTACAACAGCATATTCCATTTGCTCTGTTCTCCAAAAAATCTCTTGGGGTAGGTATAGGTTTTACCTGAACTTACTTAAGTGTTCTGGGATTCTCATTCTTCTCAAAGTTAACCATAATTTGTTATTATTCACATAATAAAATTCTTTCCCATCATCAATAAAGTACAAATAGACATGCTTCACTTGTTCTTTGCTTTCAGCCAGGATCCATTTGACATAAACAATGATGTCCCTGTTGCCACAGTCTCTTTTAAACACAGCTTGAACTTTTGACAGTTCTCTGTGTACTGTTCTAGCCATTCCCCCCCCCCTTTATTTTCAGAAGAATTTTACTTGCATGTGGTATTAATGCTGTTGTAGTATAATTTCCATGTTCTGTTAGATCACATCTATTGGAAATGGGAACAAATATTGATCTTTTCCAGTTAGTTGGCTAGGTAGCAATCAATCTTCCAATTTTCCTAACATTGACTGATCCAGGGCTCCATCTTTTACGTGTCAGTTGATATTCCACCAATTACTGTGGCCTTATATTTTTTGCCAATGTCTTTCCTCTTGATCATATGATACTTCCTGAAATATTTCAGTGCCAGTCATTTCAGTGATTCTGTGTATTCCCTCTATTTTCTTTTGATGAATCATGGCTCATTCAAGACTTTACCCACACAAAACAACTATGAGATATCATCTCACCCCAGTCAGAATAGCAAAATTTAACAGAGCAGCAAACAACAAATGGTGGCGAGACTGCGGAGAAACTGGATCCTTTATTCACTGTTGGTGGGAGTGAAAAATGGCGCAACCACTATGGAAGGCTGTATGGCGCTCCATCCGAAAAGTTACAAATAGAAATACCATTTGACCCAGCAATCCACTCCTGGGAATATACCCTAAAGAAACGGTAACTGCCACCCAGGCAGATATATGCGCACCTATGTTTATTGCAGCTTTGTTCACAATAGCGAAGTGTTGGGAACAACCTAAGTGTCCATCAACAAACAAATGGGTAGAGAAGCTGTAGTATATTCACACAATGAAATACTATGCTGCATTAAAAAACAAGGAACTCAGGGAGCTCTGATAGCCTTGGCAAGAAGCTCCACTGCAATCCCAGAGGTACACGGTTTGAATCCACTAGATGCTCTGCTGGAGAAGGAGGGGAAATCTTCTCCTGTACCAGTCAGATCCAATTTGATGGAACACATAAAAAAAATAATAATAATAAAATTAGGCCGCTGGGGGTGTGCCCACCCATCCCGCTGCATGAGCACTCGGCTTGCGTGCGGCCCTTCTTGTGCAGGCAGCCGGTGGATGCCCGCTTCCCCCACAGCCGCCATCTTGGCTCCAAGAATTCTCTCCAGAACAGCTCCACCTTGCAGCAGTGTGGTGGCTTTGCTGTACCAGTCTTGAGGAGGGCCGGTGCCCAGCATCCATCCTGGATTGTATTCACTTAGACCTTCAGAGCCTCAGCAAGAACCCTGAAGACTGAAAGAATGCATCATTCTTCAGACTTTAATTTTATCGGCTTTTACAAGTTGAAATTTCCTTTCACCTCAAAGGCATTGACCTACAGACAATTCGTAGCAGAGAATTACCCGATTGTTACATTTTTCAGAATAGGATTATCTATGACAATAAAGCACACAGTGGCAAAATCAGAATCTATTTTGACAGTGATGCCAACATTGAAGAATGTAAAGTCTTGAACACATCTGGATCTAAGAGAAGTTAAGAGTTAATGCACAATTTTCTGAACAACCTTTGAAGCAGGTATATTCAAGAAAACGGCATCCTCGTTCATCCTTGGATTCGTCCAAAGTCAAGAACTGTATGCTTCACCCTGCTCTGGTCTCTTCATTGAAGCGGGCCGCTGAGGCCGAGTTTTCATACCACCCCCTGTCCTTCTTCTTCAATGTCCTGTGGGTCATTCTACTGGTTTCCCTGTAGGCCTCACAGTGGAAAACAGGCTTCCCCTAGGGTCCATTCAAAGTGTCCTTTAATTACATCTCTGTAAGAGCGTGTTGAGGGCATATTCCATACGGTTTTTCAATTCTGCTGAACAGCCAGACATCAGCAGAGTCTTCAGCCTGAACATCGTAGATATACTGTCTTCGTGATTTTTGTGTGATCCTGATAGAAATTTGCCTGAAAGGTGCCATCATTGAAGAGCATCATTAAGGCTTTGTCAGACTTGAGCCACTGAAGGAGGTAGAGCCGAGGTCTTCGGATGTCTGTGACACTGGGCAGATCTCCACCATCCATGAGGTTCTCCTCCATGTAATGAGAGAAGTATTTCAGCAACGTCACTTGGCTAATGAATTGTTCAAGGGCATCTGTTGCTAGGAAAACCGAGCACTGGCCGAGCTCCGCGTAATAGTGAACG